TGTAGTGCATTTAGTTATTATTAAGGGTCATTTTGTTATTTTAGTCATCATACAGTTGGCATCATTCATCTACTTATCATTGACAGGCTGTCTAAACAGTCATTGTGTGAAATTTTTTTTAATCTTTTTTTTTTATGCTTCCACATTTGAAATGTTTGCTATTTTTATAAAGTGTCCATGAATTAAGGTCAGACTTTTGGAATTTTCAATGTGTGATTTGATTGGAAAGGAATCACAGGACTGAATAATACTTATCTAATCACTGTAAACAAGAAAAAATAAACTAAGTAATGACTGCAGGATGAAGGAAAATACTGCAGGAAAAGTACAGAAGATTCAAACTTTAAGTAAAAGTACACGTTTTAAACTTTACTACTATTACTGTAGTCATAATTTAGTCAGTCAAAATCCTGTAGTTTAAAAACTATAACACTATTGTCATAGTTCTTACATTAGGCACACTATGGCTACAATATGATACAAGATGTTTAACACAGAATCCTTTTTAGACCCTAGAGAGTTTTGTTGTGGCTGGGTTTTCATTTTTTTAACCTAGTCTCAAACAGACGTGTCAAATCTCATGAGTATTCAGTGCAAACCAGGAAAACAGACTCATTCAAAGTGTAACTCGATCATCAGAAAAGCACTTATGTGTAATGGCCCTGAGTGCTATTACACATGTTCTGGTTCTGTACTGTATATAGCCTTGAGGTTTTTATGAGGGTTAATACAGTCTGCTTGCTCATTTATTATACTTTGATGCTAGATATGTGAGCATCAAATGGCATTTAAAAAGATGAACTCAATTCAATGAGAAACATGAACTCAATTAAAAATGTGTAAAATGAAAAATCAATTGAATTGTATCAACTGAATTAACAGTAGATTAGCATTCAGAGGTTTAGACTAGTTAGGTTTTGGAGAATGTAATTTATTCTTGTGATGGCCACTTTTCATATCTTTCTGATTTGCTTTAAGAAACATTTCTTATTGTTATTATGAATGTTTTTTCCCATATTGTGACACAGTTCATAGAGAAACGGAATATTAAATGACATCACAGTGGGCATGACTTGTTTTTTACTGCAAGCTGGGGACTTTAATGTTTTTATGGACAGCTGAAGACCACAAATGCAGTATTTTCAGGATTCTGAACTAATTTTAAGAGCCTTTATTTGAAATTAAAACGATTTGTTATGGTATGAATGTCTTTACTGTCAAGCTTGATCAATTTAATGCATCTTTGCAGAACAAAAGTATTCATCTTTGAAACTTTTAGCTATCTTTTTAGCTAATATGTACATGAGTCAAAGATGGCACATCCCATTTAGGCATCAAATTTAATTAGCAAACTGAAATATATATTAAAAAAAAGCATGCTAATAGAAGTAAAGGGTCATGTCGAATATTTCAAATAAAAACTGTTAGTAAAAATTTAATGTCCACAAATGGGTGAAATGAAGTCAACATACTTATTTTGACCTGTACTTGTTAAAATATATAAAAGATTAAGTGATCATACTAAAATTTTTACAAATATTTTGAAATTTAACATTTTTTAGGGGGAGGCGAAAAGGTCTTAGAAAATATTGATTAATTTTGGTTTGTGTCATCTGTAAATCAATATTTATGCAGTATAAAGGCATTGTAGACATTGTGTGCATTTTGTGTGTGTGTATGTTCGGAAAAATTACATTTAAACTGGTCCTTTTTTAATTTCCTGAAATAAAAAAAAACAGTAAAGCTACTTCACTTTTATTGTTTTGATGCTTGAAAATCCCTTTTGCTCTTAATACATTAATTCAATCCATACCTTTTATGCAGCTCGGCCTCAATCTATCATCATATGATGTGTGATATGCTGATTAGTAAAGGTGTTGAGACTTCTAAAATGACAGAATATGAAATCAAACTCAGATAATGTGCATGAATTTGTGCAACCGAGTCTGCTTGTGACAGTAAGGAACTGACATGTGAGCTGGTTCGGAAACTCATACAAGGCTGGTAACTGAACACTGGTCATTAGAGACTAAACTGAATGTTCCACGGACACTTCATTAAAAGATTCATCGTGTCCATTCAAAGCTGTCATATAATGAAAATCACTTTTTTTCATTATAAATATTTTTCAGATACTGTAATCATTCAGAACAATCCCTAGTCCAAAAATATCTTTGTACTTTGTATTTCCGCCTTGATTTTTCTATAAAAATGTCTAAAAACTGCTATGTGACATTTTGAACAGTAAACAAGCTAAAATTACACACAGAACATCACTTTCATAAGCTTTCGACCTCAAAAAATGTTCATTTAAGGACAAAAGCAAGAACTACTGTTACACCTGCTGGAATAAAATGTAATCGGCGACAGGAAACATTTATTATTTTCAATCATGCTTAGAAAAAGGATTATTTCACCACCCTATGTGAACCTGAGAGGAGGAGATATATAGAGAAACTAAACTGTATTGGTTTATGTCAGGTCTTTCCTATTGCTTCACTCCTTTATTCACTCCTTTTTGATTTGCTATCACCCAAACCACTAAACACCATTACCTTTTTAAAGAAGCAGCTTTTCAGCTATCACTTAATTACCTCACACTTTTATGTAAAGTTAAAGAACAAACTATCATTTTGTACAAAATCATGCCATAATGTATTTTGATTCAAGTTTGTTTGAGAAATTTGAAATCATTGGCCAAAATGAATTTTCTAAAAATGTTTACTTCGATAAACACTTTGATACGCTACCATTCATTGATAGTAATTATTTAATAGCTGCATTAGGTGTGTAGCTTTGTAAATCTTTTCTGGTTATTTAGTTCAATCCACAGATGTCTGATATTTTTCTTATGTGTTTGATTCAAGTGTTTTGATTTAAACTGTACCTATTTGAATCTACTACATATAGTGCTTTATACAGTACAAACTGTAAATCTGACATGACTTCACTGCAGTGCCAAATTGATGAGCTTGTGCAAACATCAACATCATTATCATTATATTACTTGTATGTTTACTTTGTTATTGTGATTAAATGTGTAGTGCATTATTTGCATGTACATATCAATGTAAACTCTGCCCTCAGCACTAGTGTAACCCTGATGTGCCACATGCCCTTTAATAGCAAACAAGATGTTTACAGCTTGATTACATAATTGCTTTGTTTAGAATGAGGAGGATGTTTTAAGCTGTTAACCTTTCTGGATGACTTGCCTAATTACCCTAACTTCCCTAATTAACCTAGTTAAGCATTTAAATTGCACTTTAAGCTGAATACTAATAAAATTATATAGCAAAATATTGTGCACTGTCATCATGGCAATGATAAATAAATTCCGTTATTAAGTTAGTTATTAAAACTATTATGTTTAGAAATGTGTTGAAAAAAAATCCTCTTTCTGTTAAATATATATATATATATATATATATGTACATGTATATATATGTGTGTGTGTATATATATGTATATGTATATATATATGTGTGTGTATATATATGTATATGTATATATATATGTGTGTGTATACTAATAATATATATTGTGTGAATACTAATAAAATTATATAGCAAAATATTGTGCACTGTCATCATGGCAATGATAAATAAATTCCGTTATTAAGTTAGTTATTAAAACTATTATGTTTAGAAATGTGTTGAAAAAAAATCCTCTTTCTGTTAAATATATATATATATATATATATATATATATATATATATATATATATATATATTATTCAGAGTATTAGAGTCATTAGACTAGGGTCAATGCAATATTGTGAAGACATTTTCATTTTAAAAACATTTAGCTACCTAATACAGGGTGTAAACCTGTTGTCCACTGTTAAGTTGACTTATCTAAGGCAAGGGTATACTCACTTTTAAAGTAAAGTAAGCTAATCGCTTTAAAAGCATTGTGTTTACTCGTTGGAGCAAACTAATCACTCACTTTTTTTAAGTAAAGTCAACTAATCACTTTATTACAGTGTTCCTGGATTAGCGTTCCTGTTCAAAAACTTTGTCTTGGCATCATCCTTACCCTTAACCCTAACGGTTAGGCTTAACCTCCTAAATCAGAGGGAAGTAATAGGTGAATAATAATGGTCTATAACTCCTAACCCTTATTTAAAACCTAAAATTTCACTGAACTATAATCATATCCCTCAAATCTGATTGGCTATAGCTGCAGGATGGGTTTACTCATTTTAGTAAGCTTATCACTTTAAAGCAAGTTTTACTGACTTTTTAAAGCAATCTGATATTTTTTACAGTGTTCCTGGATTAGCATTCCTGTTCACAAACTTTACTTGGAATCATATCTACCCTTAACCCTAATCTCTTAAATCAGAGGGAAATAATAGGTGATTGATAATAACATATAAACTCCTATTCCTTATTTAACCTAAAATCCCACTGAACTACAAAAACATATCCCTTCAATCTAATTGCCTGTTGCTCCAGGATAAACAAAGATATTGATCCAGGGACTAGTTCTACTGTACTAGGTGTAATCTGGTTAAGAATAAGTTGATGTGGGAATGTAATATTTTTTCTTCTGCAGAAGGTTGTTGTTTTTTTTAGCTAGAATAAAAGCAGTTTTAAATGTTTAAAAACATTTTGAGGTCAATACTTTTTGCTTCCTTAAGCAATATATTTTCTTCGATTGTCTCCAGAACAAACCATCATTGTACAATGACTTTCCTAATTAACATAACTTGCCTAATTAACATAGTTAGGCCTTTAAATTGCACTTTAAGCTGAATCCTAATATCTATAAACAAATTCCTCAAATCAGATTGGCTGTTGCTCCAGGATGAACAATGATATTGACTCAGGAACTTGTTTTACTGTATACTTGGTGAAATTTGGGTAAGAATAAGTTGATAGAATAACAAGTTACTTAAAAGAAAATCTACAGAGCGACCATCAAACTAAAGTGTTGAAAGATACTTATAGTCAACGGAATGTCAAAAAAGTGTGTTTGTTTTTCTCTTTTTTCAGGGTTGGAGGGTATGGAGTGCTCTCTTCCAGTAGATGGGCAGCAGGTGTCCCTCAGCGATCTTTCTGAGGACAGTTTTCGGGAGTGCCAGGGATTGCTGACTCTCACTGATTATCTCATAGTGATTTTTTCTGGGATTTGTATTTCAGTGGCAGCCATTATCGCCAGTTTCTTTCTGGCTTCCACCATCCACTGTTTCCAGCGGCTCAAATCCAAAAGGACAGATGAAGAGGAGGCAGAGGACTGAGGGCGGACACAATGGAAGTTACAAATTTCCCATGATGCACCGTTCATTGGAAGCCAAGGGTTGGGATAAAGAGGTGAACAACTTTATTACCATGACTAAAGAGCCCGGAATTAGGCCCCTGTGCAACTATTCGGATTTAAAACCTTCTCTGTGAAGCATCATGTGGGTTTTTTTATACTTGAACATCAATGATTGAATTGAGCCTTAAGACTAAAACTGTTCCTAAAAATGCAGTTGATGAAACCACTGTCCCCTGTATTCAGCATTATATTTTGACATCAATTAGCAACAATGGTCTTTTTATGGAAATGAGTTAATTAGTATTTTCTACATGATTTATTTTTTGGTATTGTGTACATGAATCTTGCTCCGTTGTAGTAAGGTTTAGCTAATTGCACTTTAAAGTATACAGATGAAGTATTGCACACAATCCCAGTGAGCCATAATGTAAGCCAGTTTTTCATATACCGCAATGGCACTTATCACCAAAGAACTAACATGAGCATATTTGTGACATACGTGTTTCTCAAGAAGGGTTCAGGCGCCAGTCAATTAGATTATATTATAAATATATGTGTTGTTGTTGTTGGTGACCTACGATGACATGCAGACTTTTTATATAGAAACCTAACTGTAGATGAAGATGGGTTGCAGTTATAGTGAATACTCACACAAGGTATTTCAAAGGTTGAATTAAAAGGGAACGTTTTGTCCGTTTTATGTCAACTCTGTCTCATTAAATTCTTTCCTTTTTTATTTTATGAAATGACTAAATAATAAACATTGACGCCAAATTGTTTGAAATTATTTAGTAATGCCTTGATCATTATATATATATATATATATATATATATATGTATTCATATTCTTTGCAGACATGTAGGCTTTTTACATTGCGCACAAGTTGGTCCACTTTTAAACTTTTTAAATGCTTTATCTTTAAAGGGGTAGTCCAGAGTATATTTTCAAGGCTTGGTTGTGTTTATAAGATGCAAAGCAATGTGTGCTCAAGCTTCCTTTATAGAAAATCTTGTTATATTTTGAATATATCTTACTTTTAATTATCTACAGCTAGTCAGCTAACATGAAAATGACTGTCATATTTCCTAGTTCCTCCAAAACCCTCAAGAGGCTGTGATTGGTCAGCTAACATAATGTGCTGTAAATTACGAATCAACATCACATCACCAGGAAAATTGTCACACCTCTGCTTTCTAAATACTTTCAGTTAGAGTCACTGTTAGCTGTATCAGTTTGAGCCTAAATCAGACAGAAAATGAGGACACAGCTAAACTTCATGCCTTCTGTAACGTTTGTGGATTTTCGATGATGAACACCGTAATAGCGGATCCAAATGCAGCATTTATTCAGCAGGATTGTCATACAGGTAGAGATCCTAACAGGTTGCAAAACAGTACAATAAGGGTTATCCAAAATCGTAGTCAAGCAGGCAAAGGGTCAGGCTATGCAACTAAGAATCAATACATGGAAGAACAAAGGCGAGGCTCGGAACACGGAAGATTAGACAGGAAATACTCAGACATGAAAACATTACAATATACCAAGGCTAAGTGCCCAGGTGTCTTTACTTGCAGCTTAAATAGTATGTGTAATCAGTCCTTGACAATCCTCCACTGGTGTGTGTGCAATCATTCAGGTAAGGAACATGTGTGTGTGAGCCGAGTGCATGTATGGAGTTGTAGTCCATGAAATGGTGAATCTGTAGTCCATTAGCGCTTGTGAGTGTTTTCCAGAGATCGTGACACCTGCTCTCTAAAATAAGATCTGACAAGTGTCTTTCACATATATTTGGAATAAGCATGATTAAGTAATACGAAATGTTCAAATATCTTTTGCGAATTTGTTATTTGAGTTGTAGAACGTACAGACAGTGGCCACATTGAGAGACACTGCAGTGCTTGTAAAGATTGAAGTACTTCTGTCTGTGTCATGTTATTTGGAAGTGTAAATACAGAAACTCAAGAGGTTCTATGAAAATAGGAGCATTTGGACGTCATTTTAGCTTTCTCTGCCATAACGTTACAGCACCTCAGGCCACACCCCTTTGCTATGGGAGGTGTATGCACAAGATGAATGCGTGTAACCTGAAGTGTTTGTGATCTCACCAACCCGGATCTATTGTTTGTTGTCCCCAAACTTCGATTGCTGTAGGCCAGGGACGTCCAACTCAATTCCTGGAGGGCCACAGCCCTGCACAGTTTAGTTCAAACCCTAATTAAACACACCTGATCAAAGTAATTGAGTTCTTCAGCCGTGTTTGAAACCTACAGGTAAGTGTGCTGGAGCAAGGTTGGAACTAAACTGTGCAGGGCTGCGGCCCTCCAGAAATTAAGTTGGACATCCCTGCTGTAGGCTTTGCAAAGCTAACACTGTAAAAGCCAATGTCTCCCTTTGCATTGAACTTTGAGCATAATCCTTTCAAAGATGCGGTTGATGTTCACACAGCTACATTACACAACAACTAAAGTTTAAAATCCTGATATAGAATGTAGTAGATGTAGTAATTAGTGAACCACCCCTTTAATTATATTATATTATATTATATTATATTATATTATATTATATTATATTATATTATATTATATTATATTATATTATATTATATTATATTATTTAAAAAAAAACTGTTCACATTGTTTTAGGCAATGCTTTCTGTCAGCGTCTTGTGAAAATAACATCAAGTTCCTGCAGGTGCAAGCAATGACATGCTGTATCACTCCTTATTTCCTTTGACCCGGAAAGCCCTGAAAGCTCTCAAAGTGCAAAACAAACAATAGAGCAAATGCGCTGCTTTTATATAATCTCATTTGGCTTCTGCTGCACATAGATTTTCATCTTTTTAGGTTGATGTTGGAAGATGTTTTTGTTTCAATGAAAGCTAAAATCAAGCTTACGATATATACGCTGTGGATGAGAGATATCCATGACTGAGCAACAGTGACGTTTGAGTTTTACTCGGGCTGAGTAATTAAACCGACGACAAGGACTCTCTCAGAGGACGGCAGGCACACTAGGCTTATTCCTGCTCGTTTTGCCCACTCATTTTCTAGGCGAAAAGTTGAATGAGACAGAGAAAAGGATTTGTTGAAATGAGGCTACGGTCCTCCAGCATCCAGATCTGGTTGTTGCTATGGTTACATGTCTGTGGGCCAGTTGTATTGAATTCAGACATAGCTACTGAGGATGGCTTTTGAATATTTGACTAATCAAACCTCCTCTGGTGTGATTTCCTTATTATTAAAAGGGATAGTTCACCCTAAAATTGGCTCACTGTTTACTCACCATGTCTTTACAAAGTCCCCTTAGTCCCCAGTTATTTATCAGGGGTAACCACAGTGGAATGAACTTCCAACTAAAAAGAATCTATATTTTTAGAGCAGTTTCTCAACCCTGTTTCTAGAGGCACACCAACAGTATATATTTTGGATGTCTCCCTTATCTGAACCATTCATTTCAGGCTTTTTGGTCTCTTCTAATGTTCTGATGATTTGATTCAGTGGTGTTTGAGTCAACGCAATCTCACGGAAATTTGTACATTTTTGATTTAGTGGCTAATTCGTATGAAATCGTACGATCTCATTCGTACAATTTGATACAATTTGCTCATCACTAGGACCAGACAGAATCTGCAGACATTTTTTTGCTATTTCTGCTGATAATATTGTAAAGAATTGGTGGATTTAGGCGGAATGATTTTAGGAGTGTCATATACTAACTTACAATACAAACTAAAAACTTAATATATGAAATAAAAAAATTATACATTTTTAACATGTATTTAATGTTTACAGTGCAAATCCAAGTAGATCCACTTATTTGTTAAACTAAGCAAGTAGATAATATATCTACTAAAAGACAGAAAATATGACTTTACCAACTGTATTGTAAATAAATCATCAACATTTTAATATTACTATTATTATATCACAATAATATTAGTGTAATGAATTTAAAAACTGAATAAATATAAATTTACACACATTTACACAAGTAAATACATAGACTCAAAAATGGGCTAAAAATCTGTGGATCTCTGCGGGCAGATTGCGTGTGGGCCTACTCATCACCCAATGAAGATTGGGTTTAGGGGTGGGGTTAGGGTGCCGCGCCTTCTTTTTAAAATCGTACATTTGCATTTGACTGAACTTAACAAAACTGGCAAAATGTAAAACACTTACTCAGGCTTATTTGAATAGGAAGGGGTTGAAAAGATGTACTTGGGCGTGCCTTTAGGAACAGGGTTAGGAAACACTGTTTTATCGGATTCAAACTAGTTCTTGACTTAGTATAAAAAATACTATGGCTAGTTTCTTCAAATCTTGTAAAGTCTACTCTATCACATATGATAGCCTATTGAAGTCATTGCAAAATAAACTCATAATGCTCAGCCAAAACAGATTTGAAAACTATAAATCAAGAAAACAATAAATATAACAATAATATTACGGATCCAGTTATGAAAGTTGTTTAACAAAAAACATGTTGAAGCTGGTAACTGCTTAAACGTTTAAAACCCTTGTTTTTAGTGGCATCGGTGGCTAATAATTGAAAACTGCAGCCAGCAACTTACTGCTTGTGCTTGTCCTTACACACATGCTAGAGACTGAATGTTACTCATTTAACGCATGGCCCCAATATTTTTCATGCTTTGATTAAAAGTAATTAAAAAAAAAAGATAAATACCTTTGCTGCGATATACTGATGCTGAATATTCTGACTGAAATCATCTGCACTTCATATGGACTATCCACGTAGTTCTTGATGATGTGTCTCAGCACTGAAGGCAAAGAAATAAAAAAACTCAGCATTATAAAACCCTTTAAATGTTTAAATATGTGCTGCATGTTTCCTTCTCAATAACAAAATAAAATGGAGTCATTTTGGAGAGAAAACAGCAGTTAAGATACTATCTGATAATAGTAATTGAATTCAAACTGCTTATTTAAAATGAGCTGAACCAACTCTATTCTTGACTTCTCTGATTTTGCTTAGACAAAAGTCTTGTCAGTTAACAGAAATAATGTGCAGTATAAAATATAAAGTAATAGTGCAGTAGGAAAATAATTATTACCATGTTTGACTCCCATGAGCTTGGAGCACTGCATCCATACATCTCTGCAATGACTTAAATAACTTATTAATTAAGTCATCTGGAATGACAAAGAAAGCGTTCTTGCAGGACTCCCAGAGTTCATCAAGATTCTTTAGATTCATCTTCAATGCCTCCATCATCTTACTCTAGACATGCTTAATAATGTTGATATCTAATGACTGGGCTGGCCAATTGTGGTGCACCTTGACATTTTTTGCTTTCAGGAACCTTGATGTCTAGGCTGAAGTATGAGAAGGAGCGCTATCCTGCTGAAGAATTTGCCCCCTCCTGTGGTTTGTAATGTAATGAGCAGCACAAATGTGTTGATACCTCAGGCTGTTGATGTTTCCATCCTCTCTTCAAATCACTTGTATGTACTTATACTGAATGTAACCCCAAACCATGATTTGTCCTTCACCAAACTTGACTGATTTCTATGAGAATCTTGGGTCCATGTGAGTTCAGGTCTTCTGAAGTTTTTTGTGATGATTGGGATGCTGTTCAACAGATCATTCATCAGAAAAATCTACCTTCTGCCACTTTTCCAATTGATTAACTACATGTCAAATTATTATTTGTTGCTCTTACAACTGGGATCGACGACAGGACTTTTGTCAGGTAGTGTATGTATTTTGTCTTAAAGCTTGTGCATGTAATAAACAAAAGACTATATCTACTATC